AAACCTTCAGCTGAACCCTGGCCTGCTCCATGAAATAATTACCAACAGCACAGACAGACACAAGAGGTAGACAAACGGGAGGCATTACCATTTTGTTTTCATAAGCAGCAAAGATACACAGCTCCTGAGAAGTGAAACATTAAATTACCACCACTGATTAATGTGCTGCTATCAGCTCTGTAAGACACTGTTGTGACTCAAGAAATGCACGGGCTGTTCCACTGAAGACTGATAATACTTAACAAACCTTGACATGAACACTTTGTTAGTCTTTTGTGACAATTGTTGACGTGACACCAGGTAATACCAAAGGAGAATGGCATGAGGTTGAAGCTTGTGTGTAATCATTAGCCTGCTGAATGTGTGATCATTCCCCATAGCAGATAACTGGAAGTCATCTTGGCCCTCTCCAGATGATTAGTCCAGAATAAAAACACAGCACTGCAGAGTTACCTTTGAGGAGAAGGAACTGTGTGTGTGTTTTCTGTGTACCAGTGTCAGTAAATTTGCTTAGTGGCAACCAAAAGTTCTGTAAAATTAAGTGCCTTATATTCAGTGGTTGCATATTGGACCATGCACCCTGAGATACATTCTTCAAGACTGCTTGGGTCTTGATTCATGAATGAGACAAAGCAGTCAAAAATGTGAGAATGCAATGGGACACACTTTGGGACAGGACTGTTGAGACGTGCCTCCATATGATCATTGCACATTAGGAAATGTTACCAACTCTGTCCAACGTTCTCTGAAGACTTCACTGTAGCGGTCAAGGAAATATGACTGTAATCTGAGCAACCTGTTTGCTCAATGTCCTACTTTACCCAAACAACGAATGCAGTGACATCAGTTTTTTTTAATCTGTTCAAGCTACTCCATGAACTGACAGGCAGCCAGCAATTGGCAGAAACAAGTTTGACATCCAGTGCCTCTATTGATTCTCAATAAACATCTACATCATATTTAAACTGATGCAAAAATCCTGTAAAACCCAATATTGCCATAAAGCAGCTCTGGTTACTGATTTACAACATTACTTGCAAAACAACCAGAAATACTCAACAAGGGCTGTGTGATGGGGAGAAATCAAATATCAGAATTTTTTTTTTTTACTTAATATTTTAATATCAATATTACAGCAATATCATACAGTCTAAGGGCTTTCACACCATATTTACATAATGACATTTTTGATAAATAATCATCAGTAATTTGGATATAAGTGATGTCAGCGGTTATCCGCAAAGAATACTTGACCGGTTATGCATGTTGGTCTATAGGTAAATTTTGATACTCTTCAGTTTACTGCACTGCGCACCACCGAGGTATAGTGGGAGCTAAAGTTAGCTAGTGGCGCCGCTCATTCGACAATTATAGCTTGTAACGCCTTCTTCACCCAACAGCGCTACAATGGAAACCTTGTGCCCACCCTCCAGTCTCCCTTCACGATGCCCCAGTGAGTAAGTGGCTCAGTTTTGAGCCACAAGCCCCCCTTTGCGTTGTTAACTACTGTTAGCTCTGTTAGCACTCTTGGCAGTGTCAGCATCGGTAGAGGTGCTAACATAGTTAATAGTGCTAAAGGGGTTCTGAGGTTCAAAATGAAGCCACTCGCTCACCAGGGCATCCTGAAGGGAGACGGGAGGGTGGGCACAATGTTTGTGCAGCAACAGCATCCCACCACCGGGATGGCATAATTAGTGATAATTATAGATTGTAAAAATAATGGACGTAGCTTAAGTAATGCCACCCATTAGTTTGTGGACTCCTGTTTTGAATTCAGCATTACAGCCGTTGCCATCTTGGTTTACTGGAGCCAGAAGTGACCATATTTGGGCAAGAGGCTGGCGCTGTGGAGGAGCAAGGGGTAAATCTGACTTAATTATGCATAACTTTAAGCTTTCATAAAATGTAAATATAGGAGTTGCATAAAAAAAAATTCACCCCGTACAGTTACCAAAAAGAGAGAAATTAGCTATATTGACCAAAACCATTTTTTGTACACGTTTATTTTTGCTGTAAAATTGGGCATTTTAACATGGGAGTCTGTGGGGTTTGACTGGCTTCCAGGGCCGGCCTCAAGTGGCCCTTCAAAGAACTGCAGTTTTTGGCAGTGCCATGTTGGCTTTCACTTTTCAGCCCCGGAGGTTGGTTTTTGGCAGGGGTTAAAGCAAGAAAAAATCTTGTGCCTGAAATGTGGAGCACCGAAGATTTGTGTGCTTGAAATCTGAAATCTTTTCCAGTGCAGGGGGCTTAGTTTTGCGGTCACAAAATGAAGAAATAGAAATGTATGTGTTGCAAAGGAACGTGTTTATGATAAAAACGAACAAAAAGATTATAGCTTTAGTCGTTACTTTTCAGATTAAACTTTTATAGCATAATGAGTTTTAAGGATAGGCCGATATATCGGGCCGATATTTGAGTTTTTTACTTGTATCAGCATTGGCCGATACGCGCGTGGGTTCATGGATTTATTTTTCCCTAGCACTTTTTTTCATTTGAAAGTATGTGGTTAAGTTGAACAAAGCTGTTGAATCCTACTGTGTTCAGTAGTTGTTTTATTTATGCTTCAGCTTAAATATTTGTTTATTTTATAAAGACATTACTGGAAGATTTAAGAGCACTGAACTCTTTTTTTTTATTTGAATGTATAATAATAATAATAATAATAATAATAATATTCTACCTGTTCTACCTCAACTTTCCATCTTGTTTTAGTATTTTTTACTGTTCAATAAATGTTTCTTATTTTAAACTTGAGACCTGTAATATTTGTTATCATTGTGTCATTTTTTTTTTTATGTAAATTGAGGGAGCAAAAGCAGTATCGGTCCCAAATATCGGCTCAAGAAAATCGGCAGTCCATAATCGGTCGTTGGCTAAGGGTGATGGAAAAAAATCGGTATCGGCATCGGCCCTAAAAAATCCATATCGGTCTATCCCTAATGAGTTTATAAATAAAGATTAAACTTTCAGTGGTTACCAGACTTTTTGACTTATAGCTCCTACATCTCTTTTTTGCCTTGGTGCTATTTATTTTTAGAAGCTAAATCATTTAGGCTCTTTGCAAAATTGTATCAAGCTTGATGTGAATTAAACAGGCAGTTATGTCGATCTCGCCTCTGGGCAAGCATGTCATCATTAAAATGGATCATATAATGTTGTGGTTGTGACTTTAAAACTTCAGCATAGAAGACTTTATTGCAACTTTCGTTTCTGTCTGGTTTCTGTTACCTTACCTTCAAAATTACCGCTGGCTTACCAGAGCCTCTCCTGCTCGTCTGTGCTCTGTGTCTCAATGTGACATGATGTGAAAGCATGCACAGGCGTCAGTGTTGACTGGCTATCACTTGTGCCGTGTAACCAATCAGAGGGGGCTGTAGGTGGGACACTGTTACAAAGCCCAATGCAGTGGGGACTGCAGGCAGGGAGGGAGACGGCTGTATCAGAGCCAAAGGAGCGAGTTTTAAAATACATTTATTTGATCGATAATCGCTGAAAAAACGTCTGATGCCAATTATGATAAACAGTAGGTTGTGTTTACTTGCACACCGTGCGCCTAAATCATTTCCCCGGTTCGCACATATATATATTTTTAGGGGCAAACGCGAGTGAAATGCTCGCACTGCAGAGCACTTCTGCCTGTGCCGGACAGAAACTTCGCCATGCCAGAAATCCAGCGCTGTGCCGGAGAACTTTAACCCCTGTTTTTGGTAGTAATACACCAATTGAGCAGCGCCGCTAAGTGGCTCCACCCAACCCAGGTGGAGCACAGTGCAGAGCGATCAAGGCTATTGTTAGATAACCAGTGAAGACCAGAGGGTGGGCAGTGTTTCTGCGTGTTCACGCAGCTAGCAACTGTCAGCAAAGCCAACGCATCATAAAATAAAAGGCACAACATTTACATCACAGAACATTAAAATGTCACCCTTTCTAAATGGATAGCGCTTTGAAATGTGGCGCTAAAGCTCACTGGGTCAATGGAGCGCCCGATTGCAAAATTAACCAAAACTGCCATCCACAGTGGCTACAACTACAAAATGCTTAAAATGAAAATAACAGATCAACTAAAGCTGTCTGGTAAGTTTAGAAAATTACATCACTTTACTGAAATGCAGCCTTTAAAAATGGACAACACTTTCGATATCCAAAATTCTAGGGTGATATCTAGTCTCATAACGGCATAACGATACATATACCCTAGGCCTATACCGATGGCATAGTTACCATGGTATGGACAGCACAGAAACCTGTTACACATTATAATTGTCTCAGTAATCTCACCCAATCCTATAGCCATATTGTGGATATGACTGTAGTGCTTATGGTAATACAGCAGCCTGGTATTTGATATTTATTTTTATTTTCTGTGCTGATACTGACCTTAAAAAATCTGATAGACAACTAGGACAGTTCATATTTGCACAACTCCGAAAACAATGTTGTCCTGTGAACTTTATACACAGCAGTGTAGTAAATATTTATCATGAAGTTAGTATTTATTATTACATGGATAAATTAAAACTGTTTCATCAAACCATTCAGTCAGTCTTTGAACTATACTTCAGTCAGGCTTACCAAAGAGTCCCAACAGCTTTAACGACTAAAAGATAAATATTGGCTTTACACAGAACAGCGGAGGGATATTTAGTTAAGGATGTCTGTTAAACGTATTTTCTACAAATTCAGGCCGACATGATACAAAATGAAGCCCTCTAACGTTAAGAATATTGATGAAGAATTAGTGTACGTTACTTTAGCAACATATTCGTGTCCTCATGTGAACACACACACACAGACACACAGACCTGCTGCCGGCTTGGTTAATTAGTCCCGACATGTCATTCATTTCAGCTGCAGGCGGTTTGGCTAGCTCATAAACGTCTGCTCATGTGGCCATGACACACCGGCTCGGTGCAGTTCACGTAACGAGTCACTGCCCCGCCTTTTGTTACCTATCTATCAGCATGAAATATACGACAAACGGGAAGAACCATCACACAAACCTGTTTGCCGCTAACGTTACCTACGCGCCCACATGGCACGGTGCTGCTGCCTTGTCGAAACTTTCTTCGGCTACCGCGTGCACCAACGTGAGACTAACACCCAGCAACCTCCGAGCCTACACTGATAACGACACAGACCAAAATCATTTTAATCCTCTTCATTTCAACATCGTTTGAATTTATCGAGGAGCTAAAGCGACTTACCTCTGACCACTCCTCGCTGCCGAAACACTGAAGCAACAGTAACTTGCATCACTGTACACGCATCTGCTCGTGAGATCAGCCAGTGACGTACCGCCCATTCTCCTTGACACTAGACTGGGTGCTGCCTTCAGGTGCTCCTCGTAAACTAGATATTCACACTCACCAAGGCAAAATCATTGAAGATGTTGCATAGCTTTTAAAATCTTTAAAAGGTTCCTCGCACTCACCCCGTGCTATCAGCATGAGTGGATTACTGAGGGCCCTGAGAGTGAGCCCCCCCCCCCCAACCTTCACTTGCAAAATGTAATTCAAATTAACAGATACTGACCAGGAAGAGACTCATAATGGCCACAAGGAAACACAAAACAACCACATGGTGACACAAAATAACTACAAAGAGATACAAAACGATTAAAAACTCTACCTTGATTAAAAACATGATCTCAGGGACACATGATGTTACCTGTATCAGACACAAAATTACCCTAAAATACACAAAATTAACTTGGACACACAAAATAACCACAAGGAGACACAAAATAACTAAAGACACACAAAATAATCTAAAAAAATATCCCAAAGAGACATACATTTACCTCAGTAGGCCACAAAATGTCCCTAAAATGACACATAAATATCTAAAAGACACAAAATGACCACAAAGAGGGCAGCACGGTGGTGAATGGTTTTCTGTCTCTATGTGTCAGCCCTGCGACAGTCTGGTGACCTGTCCAGGGTGTACCCTGCCTCTTGCCCAATGTCAGCTGGGATAGGCTCCAGCCCCCCCGCAACCCCCAATGGGATAAATGAATGAATGAATGAATGAGGACACAAAATGACCCCAAAATGATACAAACATATCTCAGACAGAAGAAAACCACAAGGAGACACAAAATGACCACTAAGAGACACTAAGCTACATTGCATAATGGCTACAAAGGGCCACAGAACAACTGCAGGCTCCTGTATAGCACCTGCATCAATTGAATCGTTTTGGTTGAAAATATTTAGAGTCCCTGTATACATTTTGTTAGTAGTGTTGATTTTGTTTTTATGTTTTAAGCCCCTGTCATTATATGTATATTGTTTGTCTCTGCTTCAGACCACTATGTGCTATCATTCCTCACAATTTCGACCTTTCCGATAATCGTGAAGGCAGCACAACGGGTGCTGAGGCGGTCTGAAATAAATGTCATTAGAGTACATTGATTTGTGAGTACAAGTTTTCCATTTGGCACCAAACTGAAACGGAATTAAATTCTAAACTAAATGAAGGTGAAACATAAACACAGCAGCTGTGAAGCTGTCGCTAGTATTAAAGCAATACCGATGTTTTGTGTGTTGTTAAGTGACATCGACAGAGAAGCACCCGGTACAACGTATTCATGACGCCAGTCTGCAACCGCTGCTGCGCTGGGGGCAGGGAAAATCGTCATCATGTTAATTAATCACCATGGCAATGATCACTGATTGATTTTGTAGATTTGATGACAGCGTGCCTCACTCACCCCGCATAACACCATCATCACACCATGTCTGTTTCTTACCTGTTCTTTTCAGCGTCGAAAGCAAGTGTGCGCACACTTTGACAGGAGCATCCTCCGCTGCGTCCCTCCGGTAGATGCCACACATTTACATCACATTTAATAAATACATCAGTGACATTCATGAAGCGACCCCGACGCCATCCTCCATTTCTCCCAGTGCGCATTCGGGAAAGCGCAGCTGCATAGGTTCCCCCTTCCTCCGGCTGGTGACTCATGTGTCTCATTGAATTAATAGTGACACCGGCGTAACACCACAGGGGGGAGAATGAGGCTGTTAACACATTACCATCCACTGACTGTCTCATTTCAGGATTTTATTATTAATAAAACTAATAATTGAGACTGCTCCTGTTCAAGCTGCCACAAATGCGTTTAGGGAAACCATAGTCTCAAGTTGCTTTACCATATTAAGTTCTATGTTAACAGGTATTTGCTGGCCAATAGTCTAATAGACTATACATTTACACTATTTACTTAACTACTTTTAATGTAGTGTGAGCTAGGGCTGCAACAATTAGTCGACTAATCAATGACTAATCAACTATCAAAATAATTGGTGACTATTTTAGTAGTCGACTAATCGGTTTGTCATTTTTCATAGAAAAGAACTATAAAAGTACCCCAAAATACTACATTCAAATATTGGCAGCTTTACACACTCTCCCATGAGCATGAACTAAAACCCTTTGGCGTGAGTACGAAACAAGACATTAGATGACATAATTTTGGGGTTTGGGAGAGACAGACCGACATTTTTCAACATTTTAACACAGTTTTTCTTAAAATGATTAGTCAAATAATCGATAAAATAATCGACAGATTAGTCGACATGAAAATAATCATTTGTTGCAGCCCCAGTGTGAACATTTTAGTCATGTTACCATCTGAAACTTCTCCCGTGTGCCAAGCTTGTACTCTGGCTGACACATGAAATCTAACTGCCCTATCTAGGGTCAGTGTTTGGTTTGTCCGTTGTAGGCTACTGTAGAGGACCCTGATAAGGTCCTGCTCCTTATGTAGATATGAATGGCTCATTCCAACATAACCAAAACAACTACTTTTAGTTTCAGGTGACTGTAAACTAATGAAACCTGTTATGAATATTATATTTAATTCTGCAAATAGATGCCCCTAAATTCTATGCACTGGACCTTTAAGCGTTACTCACGCTCTGACGTGAACTGTTGCAGGATTCTGACGAGAAAACATTTGGATCTTTCACACTGTGCAGATTCTCCTCCTACTGTAGGGGGCAGTACACCAAAGACTCATGTCTATAGCACGGTTCTTCACCCATATATGTCCATGTAGTTAGAAAAAATCTGATCTGCATGGACAGGTGAAACTTGCCTCATGGGACATGAATGTTTTCCAAGGATGGTGAAGGAATAACCCACCCAACTTTTCCTCTGACTAGCTAGTGCTTGTTGCCTCCATTATTGCGGGTTAACTGGGTTTAGCCAAAGGATTGTCATGGTTAGAGTAAGAATGTCCCAGTAAGCCAATCAAAGGCAGAGTAAGGCAAAGCTGGGCAGGTCATGCTTTCCACCCCCACGAGGGCCCATGTCTGATGGTGTGGTCACTTAGGCTGTGCAGACACCCACAACCCCAGCAGATGCATCAAGCATTCGGGTTGCAGGTGCCTCTGCTAACCAAATAATACCAACGCCAGAGCAGAGATCCACACATCATGTGTCCTGTGGAGAACAGGGACGACACATTATTATTTCTACCACCAGACCTGCTCTCATCTTGTGTCAAACATCTTGATTATCACTGCCAAAGTGCTGAATCTTTTTTTATTGTAAAAACAAACTGTATTTACAGTGAATCATAAATCAACAGATTTTTCAGGCTGAAAACTACAATGTAGTACATGAATTCGCTGTAGGTGGGCTGCTGGTTCCTGCATGCAGGACAGCCCATCCTAATTATTCAATTACTGTCCTATTATATGCAACCAGTATTGATCCATTCCTCTGACAACCTGAGGAATATTAAGTGTAGCAACGAAGCACCCTTTAACAGATGATTATATTACATTTAAAGAGATACTGTTAATATTGTTACACTTTTACCAAAGAGCCGACTGCTTCCATCAGTCTGTTGTCAGGGGCACCATATGATGTTTTTCAAACAGAAGTCAAGAAACTCCACTCTTGGCCATAATTGTACCCAGAAGAATGGGTGTACACATAAATGTACATTAAATATGACTGAAACACTGTTGGCATTTGCTTCTTTGAATAAAGCATCCTTATAGATGCTGCCGAATGTCCATCTTTCATGAGTTCCTCCTCAGTTCAGTTGTCTGATGATGGCGTTAATGTCTGTGTTGCGAAATCCAGGGTTTCCAAGGTCCTTAAGCAGCCCAGCCTTATCCCTGGCTGCGTGACGAGCAACCGACAGCTTGAAAGGCAACAGGAAGTTGTTGGCAGCTCGGAAGCCCTTACCAACCGAGTAGATCTCGTGAATCAGGTCCTCCAAACAGATGATGCCATGTTTACCTGAGAAATGAGAAGGAGGCAAGGGATGGGAAGGAATGTCAAAACCAACAGATGTTTGTGAAGATACAAAAGTCACTGTGAGAAAACACCCAAAACCATCTATATAATTTATACAATCTGAAATACATACATCCCTGAAGTTAAAAAGACAGGAAGGAACTGCTAAGTGTCTGCCTTAGTTTGAATCGTACATTCTTGCACAACTTAATTCTGCACTGACTGTTACCCACATATGACTCTTTAGCTGTGACCAGAGGTTAACCGTGTAACATTATACTACTTTCAACTTTGCAATCTCATGTCTTGGTATTACTATATTGTATGGTGTGGTACTCTATACCTTTAAACTATCTGGCTTGCCACAGTACTCTGTTACTGCTGTTAGACGGTGTTTGCGAATACGTCGATTACATTCAGGGTTCCCAAGCACTTTAATGGACAAAATGTCAAAACCATTCCATGACTTTTCAAGCACCCATGATAAAAACGTCAATGACCATTCACAACATATTAACACAAACAGAAATGTAAAGTACTATACGCCAAATTTTCATTACATTATTAAAGGCCATCTGCAGACACAGAGCAGTAGAGCTCCCAGAGTGGGGGAGTGACAGCTGACAGTTCAGTTGGCCTGCTGGTTACTTTGTTTGGGGGACCAAAAAAAAAAAAAAAAAGCTTTATACTTTTAAACTACCATGCTCTACTTTCAGAGCACTTAAAACGAAATCAAAGTGCACATTCATCGAGGCAAAGCTGCATGGGCTGATGACTGAAAGCCCTGGGCTGCCCATGTAAATTGCTCAATCTTGAAAATGTGGTACCATTCAAAACAACTGGTAGGCATAGGTGTGGAAACGTTGGGAGTCCTGACCGTACAATGGGGCTGGGCGATGTGGCTTAAAAAATAGTGATATTTTTAGGCTGTATTGTGATACACAAATATATATGTCGCAATATTTTGAAATCTCCTGTAATGTACAGGAGATTTCTAGAGGACAGGAGATTTCTACAGGAGACTACTAAAATACAAC